ATAAATATATATATATATTATATGTTTATATATGTAACAGCTTCATCGTTTCTATTTTAATTAACAAAATAGTGGACTAACTTGTGATCCATTATAAACTAAAATATAAGATTTTTATTTGAAAAATGTTTTATAAATAATCCGAAAAAAAAGAAAAAGAAAAAATAAGAAGATAACAAGTTAAGTCTACGGTCAGTAGTCGCGTACAATTTTATGATCTCGCTTTGAATTTTATAAATCACGAGCATACGCTATAAACCACGAACTTTACATGTTATTATTCTCTCTTGCACTTAATTCAATTAATAATTAAACATTCAATAAAGTGTTAATCTAATTGATCATCATTATTGCTAACTGTATGTATTCCAATAAACAAGCTACGATCAAAGGATCGAAATAGGGTGAGTATAACGTAATCGTAAGTTTGTGTGTGAGAATAATTATTATTACAAAAAATTCACTATGAAAAATGATGATTTTGCTGGAAGCATTTTGCACGTGCATGTAATCGCGCATTTTCCTCCTTTTTTTTATTTTGTTTGTTTGTCTTCTTCTTCTTCTTTTTAAATAATAGTTGCACACGCTAAAAAAAGAGAGAGGGGGAGAAAAGAAATAGCATATTCAATTGCGTTTTCTTCTTCATTTTTTTATTTTAACGAAATACACATTGTCGTCGTTGAAAAAAATGTCAAATCTTTTTTTTAAGATCGAAGAAAATACAAGGGCTTTGGAATATCTCGGACAAACTTGGGGTAGTCAGAGTAGTCTTGAAAGTCTTGGTACTCAAGGTTCTGCTGCTAGCGAAAGAAAACGTATCAGTAGCGAAAAATGGAAACAAGGTGCAAGAAAAACTTTGCTTCAATGGGTTACCAATACTCTACCAAAGTTAGTATTACTTTAATATGAAGAATTTATTTTCTAAAATGTTTATTATAATTATTTCATTTATATTCAAATGTATAGAAAAAAAAAATATATATATATATATAAATAATATATAAATTTGGATTTTTTTCGTTAATTTCAGAGATATTGGTATACAAGTACGTGATTTTGGTGAAAGTTGGAGAGATGGTAATGCTTTCTTAGCCATAATCGATGCTATCAAATCAAATTTAGTGAATATGGCAGCTATGAGAGAAGTAACTAACAGAACAAGATTGGAAACAGCATTTGATATAGCTGAAGTTGAACTTGGTATAGCACGTCTATTAGATCCTGAAGACGTTGACGTACCACAACCAGATGAAAAATCTATAATGACATATGTTGCACAATTTTTACACAATTATCCGGATCCAAAAAGTACTAATCCGGATTCTCTCTCGTCTATTAAACAAGAATACGACGATCTACTTAATTGGCTTAACGATAAGACAAGATATCTCGAACAACTCGATAAAACTAATTCTTTTCCAACCAATTACTCGGTATGATATCATTGTTTCTTTTTTTTAATTATAATTTTACGTTACAACACTCATTTGAAATATTTTATGAACCTTTAAAATTGCATATATATATTTTTATTGTTTATAGAAATATATTTCGTTTAATGAAGAAGTAGAAGAGAAAAGATTGATTTATAATAAATTGCAAAGTTTGGTAACAACACCATCGATAATAAATATAACACGTGATTTTTTGAAACATATACAAACGTTATGGAAAACATTGGAATTGCTTGTAAGTATTTTAAATGATTCTCATTTTTATTTTCATTCATTATTTATACAACAGTTAATACTTTGAAATGGTTGTATCAAATTGATTTGAATTTGTTGTAGATGTTGCATTGGGTTTGGTTATTGGATTCCGCGTTACCTGGGGATTTAGGTTTAACGGGAAGGTGGCTTGCTCGTGCAGAAGGTCTGTTAAATTCTGACGGTGATATACCCGAAGAAATGACCGAAGAAACGGCAAATATTATTTTGAAAAAGTTAGAAGAACACGCGAAATTTTTCTCGGAATTACCGACTATGATGAAAAAATTCGAACAGGCGAAAAATTCTTCATTGGCGCAACAACAAGTTCCACGAGAACAACTTGAAAATATGACAACGCGTTACAATGATTTACCATCGAAAATAGCCAAGCGTAAGATCAAATTAAAGTTCCTGGAACACAAATGTTGTCTCGTTGCTTTCCTTTATTTGTTGGAAACAAAATTGAAAGGATGGAATATTAAATATGGTACAGAGGAAAAGGTTTTACAAATGTTGGAACAGTATAACAATTTTGTTTCTAGAAATAGAATATTTCAAGAATTTCAAAAGGCCTATTTAGATATGCAGCAAGTTGTCGACGAATATAAACGGGAAGGTGACATAGGTACTTAAAAAATATATATATATGTATATATTTAAATATTATTTGCATATATTAATAATACATATTAATAAGTATTTCTCAATTATTTTGCTGCGTGTATCCTAAAATACATTTGTCCGTAATGGTATTGAGAAACAAATTTTGTGTATAATGTACAAATATATATTATTTTATTAACTGTTACTGTGAACTTTAAGAATATTTTATGATAATTTTTATTAAAATTTACACGCTGCAAATAGATTGAGAAACGTGATAATATAAATGACATTTGTATTGATTATTTCTATTAATTATTTTTAATGTATACTCACAGATAAAGATGAATGCCTACAAATAGATCGTTTTATGCGAGAAACTGGTGAAAAATGGAAAAACGTTTCGGTTGATTTGAGATGCGTGCAAAGTATGCTCGACGAAGTAGTCGCATATTGGTCGAAATGGACCGAGGGATCGGACGAATTTGAAAATTGGTTGATTCGTGCTGAATCAGCATTGAATTTGCCGGAAGAAGAGAAAATGGAATTCTTCCAAGACATAAGTATTTGGAAAGATAAACATCAAAAACTTTCTGACACCGTTAAATTTTTAATAGTCACTTCGGAAGATGTCGTAGCACTTCGTTTAAAGGAACATTATACAATTTTGACAAATAAATGGGAACACATATTCCAAGAAGCGAAACAATATATGCACGCTGGTGATTTATTAAGAAATAGAAAGGATTATAGAATGGGAGTTGAAACGTTACAAAATTGGTTGAGAAATGCTGAATCAGCTTTATCCACTACACAATTGACTTCAACCGAACGTATCAAAGAATACGGTGAAAAACTTCAGCCCCTTTACAACGAGGTCAAAGATATAGAAGAATTGTTTAAGAATATAAGCAGAAAATTTCAAACCCTTATACAAGAGTTGTCGCGTGACGAAGTAGACAAAATGATGAATACCCTTAAAAAAGAAAAGGAAGCATTGGTAAGGGTACGTGCATTGATACCAATGCAATGGCATTTGTATCATCAATTACTTGTACAACGAGAATCATTGGAGGATGGTAAAAAAGAAATATCCGCGTGGTTGGACGAGGCTGAAAAATTATTGAACAGTATTGATTTATCGGGTGGTAGAGATGCGATATTGGCACAATTGGAACGACACAAAACATTTTTCTCCCGAACATTGTATCACAAATCAATGCTCGAATCTAAGAACAAGATATTTTCTAGCATAGTTAAATCTGTTGGTAATAGCGAGGACGTAGATACGAGTGAAAATGGTTTGACGTTGAAGGAATTAAATGAAAGATTTGCTAAAGTTTGTCAATTATCACAAATGTGGGAACAACGTCTACAAGAAGTAATAAGATGTTTGACGAAATTCAAAGATTGCGAAAGACGTATTTCCGAGTGGTTGTTGTCAGCTGAAATATTACTCAACGATGTACACATTGACAATCGTTCATCCGTTGAGTATCATAAAAATTTCTTCAGTAACGTATACGAAAAATGGATTCAAGATTTGATTAATTCTGCCCAAGATTTGAAAAATGTTTTACCTGTTGAACAACAAGCTCCCGTTACTGAAACAGTTGAAAGTTTACAGAAACGTTGGAAAGAAGTTTTAACGTTTGCACCACTTCATCTTATGAAATTAGAATTTCGATTGGACGAAGCAACGTTGCTTCAATATCTCAAAGAAATTGAGATGGAAATTAATTCGGAACAACAAGCATTGATTCAAAATGATGATATCGATGGTATACTGCAACGAAATCAAGAATTTTTTGTCAATCGTGGTGTTATTCAAAACGTTGACAGATGTTTGCAGACGTTGAAGAAAATTAGCACCACTTATAGTCAGTTAAAACCTAATGATAATAGTTTGAGTCAAGAGATTGAAAAAACTGAAAATTTGTGGATTGAAACTACCAAGAAAATAGAGCATCTCAAAGAACAACTTTATCAGATTCCTCAGCAATGGGCTGCCTACAGAAAAAAGTATATTGATTATTTGATTTTTATATTTATTTAAATATCTTCTTATATCGTTTTATGTTTTATCACACGCAACTTTTTTTTTTTTTATCAGATTCGATGAGATGGTGCAATGGATGGATCACGTTGACAGTATCTTGAAAACTATTTTACACGAAGTTAATACCCTGGAAGAATTTGAAAAAGAGAAAGCTGTTTTTCAGGTATTTATAATATTTATTTTATTAACTATTCAAATTTATATATATAAAATATGATCAATATTTGTTCTTGCTGTACGGATAGATTGAAGTTATGACGGTAATTGAACTTTAATTCTTCTATATTCTTTATATACATAATATATGAAATAAATATATTATTTAAAATGTATAAGAAATAATTCTATTTAAAAAAAAAAATATATATACGTTTTATTATTGTTATAGAAAATATCTAAAGAAGCTGATAATCAACGTGAAGAAATGAAGTGGTTGGTTCAGACATTGGATGTACTTATTTCCAATCGTTTAGATCACGAGGCAATTTCTGAACAGAAAAAATTGGAACAATTAATAAGTCGATATAAAAATTTGATACCAACAATAGAAATTACAATGACAAAGACGGATATCTATTCGAAAAGTTATACTTATAGAAAAGTAGTCAGAGAAGCGTGTACCCTTTTACGTAAAGTACGTGAACAATCGAAAGAAGACGTTCCATTGGTACATCCTGAGAGTCTTTCAACTGCTGTTGCTCAGCAAGAAACTCGTCTTCAACAATTGGAACAACAAAGGGCTAACATAGTTAGCATGTTGCAACGTGGAAAAGATCTTTTGAAAGATCAACACGCGCCAACTTTCATATCTTCCGAGGTTCAACAATTAGAAGTTAATTGGAACGATACTTACGGACAAAGTATAGAAACTTTGAAATCTTTGAAAAACACACAGAAATTATGGGCCGCTTACGAGGAACAAAAAGCAGAAATTTTGAAACTCATGAAACAAGCTGAAGAAGAATTGAACAAAGTTAAATCGAGCGTTTACAACGATGCCGCACAAATGTCTGCCGATCTTCAGAACAAACAAGAATTTAGCACGACTTTGGATAAATCTGCTAAAGAAATGATAACTAAATTGCGTGAAATTCAAAGTAATTTATCTGACGTAACACCGGTCGAGAAAATCGAATTCATAGAAAAAGAAATCATAGAAACGGAAATGAAAATGGAAACAACGTTGAAAGTTTTACACGAGACTGTTGTACATCTTCAGGAATATAATTCTAAATGGACTAAATTCCAATCGAAATTTGGAGAATTACAAAATTGGACTCAACAGAGGATACCGCAATCATTGGCAGAAATTGAGAATTATGCTATGTCTCCTGAAGAACGGTTACATAAAACTGAACATTTACAAAAGGAAATTCACGAAAAGATGAACATATTGAAAATTCTCAAAGAAGAATCGCAAACACTTAAAACAGGTAAGATTGTTCTTTTAATTCTACTTTTATACTTTTAATTTAAACATAATGTTTTTAACAGAAAACAATTATTGTTCGACAGATGAGACAGATGGTACGGAATCCAAACGTTTGGATAAAGAATTGGAAAGTCTTGAGAAAGTGGTAAAATCGCTTCAAGAAAATAATGAAATACAACGGCAAACAGCTGTACAAAATTTAGCAACATGGAAAGAATACGAAATGGGAATTCAAAAGGTAAAACCTTGGGTCGAAGAAGCAGAATCGAAAGTATCATCGATGGGAAGTAAACCAACTAATCTTGAGCAAGCTATCAAAATGTTAAATATTGCTAAAACTTTTGAGAATCAATGTCAACAACAACTTCCTCAAGTTCAAAATCTTTCATCGGTTAGTCAACAAATTACGGGAAGAACTGCTGCACCCGATGAAATTGATGCAGTTTATAGAAGATGGAACGTCGTCCACGACATGGCTATACAAATAACAACGAAATTGGATAAATTAGTTTCCTGTTGGAATAATTTTGAAAGCGACACCAAAGAATTTACCGAGTGGTTGGAAAAAAGTGAGAAAGCATCCCTCGTTGTTCCCAATATTCAAACACCAGAAGTCAGTAAACTCGAACAAGAATTGGCTAATTTGAAAGGTTTCAGTAAATCAATATCTGATCATCAAGCTCAATTGATATCGTTGACTCAAGTATCCGATCACATTACTCACGGTTTGTCATTGGAAGGTGGGACTAATTTAAAAAATCGTATGTCAGATTTAAAGGCACGTGTCAGTAAGCTAGCTGATACGGTAAGACATCAAATTAATCTCGTATCAGATTCTTTATTGGCTAGACAAGAATTCCAAATGAAAATAGCTGATTTTGAGAATTGGATGTCTACGTTAAAATCAAACATTGCTGATATCAATGAAGTTAATATCGATAACATCGATACTACATTGCAAGCCATTCACGCATATCTTCAAGAACATTCGGAAAAACAGCCAAGTTTTGCAGCCATTTATGACGAAGTTAAACGTCTATCTGGCCAGGGTTCGAAACAAGAAGCTGCAGCATTGGATGAAATATATATTTCATTAGCTAATAAATATAAAGATTTGGAGGATGAATTACATCAGAAGAAAAAGATTTTAGAAAAATGGATAGAACTGATGAGCTGGTATAACGAAACAACAGCCCAATTGGAATATTACAAATACGAAGCTGAAGCTCGTAAACCAACTGTCAATGATTTGAATAGATTATCTTTAGAATTGCAAGATGTACAATCGAAATTGAATACATGGAGAAATCAAATAGGTGCTATAGACAGTTCATTGAAAGTTCGTATTCGTGACAAACAAGAGAATCCACTTACAGCGTCTGCTTTGGTCAGTGATTTGGAAGCTAAAGCGGTCGTCTTGGAAACCGAATTATCATCTAAACGTGAAAAATTAGAAACCCTTGGCGCAAGGTGGGATAATTTCAAAAAATTGCAAGAGAAAATAACTGAAGATATCTTGAAAACTCAAAGTAATTTACAAGATATTACTGACAACGTTGATTCTTGCGAACAATTGGCACCCGCGGTAGACAAAATAGAACAATTAATAGAAATACATCAAGGAAAGGAACCTGACAAACAATTACTGCATCGCGAAGCTGACAATTTAATGCAGGAAGATCAAAGAGCTATGACAAACATTCAAGTTGTTTTGTCATACGTCGATGCCAATTGGGAAAAGGTTAGTGTTCTTCTTCAAGAACAAAAAAAGAAATATGCGGAAATGGATAATGATTGGAAACAATACAAAGAGGCTGAAGACAAATTACAAAGATTCATGAACGAATCTACATTGTTGTGTCAAAGTGTGAAAGAAATTCCCGATGATATAACACAAGCAACAGTAGCTTTGGATAAATATAAAAGAGCGTTGGAAATTGTAAAAAAGGGAAAACAATTTTTGGACAAAATGGAATCAAAAGCTCAACAGATTACGAAAGATGCTTCACTTCTGCCCAATTTTAAATCGGATTTGGTGACTTCGAATTTAAATGAAAATCGTAAGAAATATCAAGAAACTTATAGCAACATTATCGACAAATTACAACTCTACGAAACGCAACTTATTATTTGGAAACAAATAGAAGAAGCGAAATATGAATTGACACGGTGGCTCAGTGACACCAATGAAGCACTCACGTCAGCTCGTGAATGTTTACTCGATTCCGAAAGTGGACAAATGCGTTTGATAAGATATCGCGAGGAATTGCCAGCGCATTTGCAATTCAAGCAAGGAATCGAGACCAAAATTGAACAATTAAAGAAATTGAATAAAACTACCCACGTACCGACGTTGGACGCATTGAGAAAATTATTAGACGAACAATTTGAGACAGTCAAAGAGGCGGCAGAGAAATTAGAATCGTTGACGATAACGTTGAACGAAAAAGAGAAAGATATTAGAAAGGAGATTGAAAAATGTAGCGAATTGATATCGAAAATTCGCGAAGATATTATTAAATGCGACGATTTGACAGGTGAAAATACAAAAATACTCGGTAGAATAAATAAGTGTCAAGAATTGAAAGGTAAATTAGACGAATGCGATGATACTTTGTCGATGATCGAAGAAAATCTTGCGATAACTACGTCGGAATATCCAACCATATCTAAATCTACTTTGAACAAGGAACTTCAAGCTTTGATATTACGAAAAGAAGGTGTCAGTAGTCACGCAGGAAAAGTTAACGCAACCTTGGTTGCATTCTTAACGAAATTATATCACGAGAAATTTGGTGCTTTCCAACGAATGGTAGGAATTCACAAGGAAAAGGTTGCTTGGTGCGAACCGGAACAAAGTAGCGATCGTTACAATCTCGAAGTTAAAATGGCATCATTGACAGACGTTGAAATTGGTATTAACGATTGCGACGCCAGAAAAGATGACGTTGATAATTCATTGAAACTATTGGAAACCGTGGAGAGTCCTGAAATCACTAATGTTCTTAGAATCGAACGTGACAAGGTATCGTTGGAATTGGAATCGTTGAAGGAAAATTATAAAAAGATTAAATCTTTGTTAGAACACAACGTTACGTTATGGCAACGTTATGAAAATTTATCCGAAAGCGTGGTCACCTGGTTGAAGGAAAATGAAAATAGAATAAGAGCGGAAGCATCGATATTGCTTAATATAAATGAGATAGAAAATAAGATCAAAGAAATCGAACAATTGAAAACCATTGCTAAAGATTATCATACGGTTTTGCAAGATGTAATTAATTTAGGCGAGGATATTAACAAAGTTAGTCCCGAATCTCGTGTTAAACAATACGTAGGACATCTTGACAGTCGATACCAATCGATACTCAAATTTTTGTCACAATATTTAGACAGATTACGTGAATTAAAGGATAGTAGAGATCAGTATACAATAAGTACCACGGAATTACAATCTTGGATAGATAATGCTGAACGTAAATTAAAAGTTTTCGATGAGATAAGTGGTCCAAAGCCAATGACGTTTTATCAGTCGCGATTAAAGGAATTGAAAGCATTCGCGGAGGAAAGGGAAACTGGTCAATCAATTATGAATCATGCCGCGGAATTGGGTGAAGCTCTTTTCGCAAGGATCACTCCCGACTGTCGTGAATTTATCAGAACCGAATTAAGAAATTTACGTAATCGCGTAGATGCCTTGACGGATCATGCCAACGTCATTTATAAACGAATTGAAAGCGACATGATGCATCGTTCATCATTTGAAGATAAATATTCGCAAGTTAAACAATGGGTTATCGATGCGGAAGCTAAATTAGGCGACAAACAGATGCTCCTACCGAATCTTCAAGAAAAAAAGCTTGCACTTCAATCCTATAAAGCTATTGCGCAAGACGTTAACGTTCATAAAAATATTTTACAACAATTGGAAGATCGATTAGGCAAAACACCGGACGACGAAGCTAGCGAAATGTTAAGCAGCGTTGTTGCAGCATACGAAAAACTATCTAACAATGTTGAAGATCGAATTAGAATAGCTGACAAATACGTATCCAATCACGAATCTTATTTGCAAACGTTTGAAAAAACTCGCGATTGGATTAACACGATAATCAATGAAACTGCATCACTCATAGAGGATCTACCGGTTGAACGGGACATTGCTAAATCAAAGACAACTTTGATTAAAAATGTTTTACAACGTAAAGCTGAGGGTGATCGCGTTTTATCCGATTGTAACGAACAATTAAATATCATTCTTGAACAAACATCTATTCCTGGTCACGCGGCTCTGATCAAAGCATTCGAAGAACAGAAAAAGAATTGGGAAGATTTCTTGGGTCGTTGTTCAGCTACCACTGACGTATTGGATCATCTTTTTAATCAGTGGTCGGAATTCGAAAAAGTTGTCGAAGATTTGGAAGCGTGGACTAAACAAATGGACAGTCAATTGAAAGATCAAAGTTTAAAGAGTACGGAAGAAGCCAAGCGTATGCATTTACAAAAATTAAAGAATTTGGAAGAATGCATAGCACAAAAGGGTTCCGAGTTTAGTTCAGCTATAAAGAAAAGTCAAAGTATCGAGGGAAGTTCGGATTTGTCAACGAGAATATCACGTCAGGCTACGAAATATCAATCGCTTAGAAATCAAGTAAAAGAATCTGTATCGAGATACGAACAATTCGTAAAGGAGCACAGTACGTTCAATGAAAGATACAACGAATTGATTAAATGGATTTCCGGTGTTAAAGGAGAATTAAAGAAACACAGCGAAATCGTTGGTAATCTTTCGTTATTGCAAAATCGACAAAAAGCTATTCGAGATCTCAGCGATACTCGAACCAAAGAAAATGCACGTTTCGAATCTGTCATTGATCTCGGGGAAAAACTTTATTCCCATACGTCACCGGATGGTCGTGAAACTGTTAGACAACAATTGAGGGATTTGAGAACCTTGTGGAATACATTTTCCGAAGATCTCCAGTCGGCAACGCAAAAATTAGATCAATGTTTGATGCATTTTGCCGAATTCACGTTGTCCCAAGAACAATTAACGTCTTGGCTTCGTGACGTTGAAAGTGCCATGGAACAGCACACGGAATTAAAATCTTCTTTGGAAGAAAAAAGAGCTCAATTACAAAATCATAAGATAATGCATCAGGAAATAATGTCCCATCAGAATTTGGTCGAATCAGCTTGCGACAAAGCTCAACAATTAATCGATCAAACCAAGGACACGTCTTTGAATATATACCTGCAAACGATTAAACAATTGTTTAACGATATCGTTGCTAAATCTCAACACCTATTAGAGAATTTAGAGGATTGTGCCGAAAAACATAATTGCTTTAATCTGCAATGCAAATACTTTTCAAATTGGTTAACCGGCGAACGGGAAAAACTTGCCGAATGTAATGATATTACTGGAGAAAAAAGTGAAATTACTCGTCGTTTGGCGACACTTTCTTTATTGAGGGACAATCAAATACAGGGTGCTGAACATTTCGAAAAATTGAAACAACTTAGTTCAGCTATGATGAAGAGTACTGCAATTAAAGGACAAGAACTTATCAATAAAGAAGTATTAAGTCTGGAAAAGAGTCTATCTCAATATCTAACTGAAATTGGTAAGTATTATTCCTATTATATGTTATCTTATTTTCATTAAAAAAAAATAAAATCATATTATTAATATAATTTTCGTTATTTCTTTTTTAAAGAATCTGTTGAAGAGAAGCAAAAAGTTGCTTTAAAGAAATGGCAAGATTTCGAGGATCAATTGGAAGCCCATGGACGTTGGTTCACATCGATGGAAGCTGCATTTAGAGATCAACAATTGCAACCAACGTTGAAGGATAAAGAAGCCAGGCTTCAAATGTTCAAAGAGAAACGTGACGTTATATTGAAACAAGAACAAGAAATCGATGCGTTCGTGGATATATCTCACAATTTATTGCATTCCAGCGGTCTCGAACGTATCAAAGTTTTAATTTCTCAAATCAGCTACAGGTAATGAGAAATACAATATATGGAAAACAAAAACAAATATATTATATAAATAAATTCTTAAATAAATAATAATTAAAATGATTTATTTCAGATATCAATTACTTCATACGTTCAGTAAAGAAGTTATAAATCGTTGTCAAAGTATCATAGACGATCATCAAACGTACGAAGATAAATTGAAATCAATCGATGCATGGTTAACACCATTGGAACAAAGTTTGGCCACTTTGAAGAGAGAAGACGTTGGTGGAAATCTCGAAGCAAGAGCATTGTGTTTGCAAACGTTATTAGCTGAGAAAGAACAAGCGGAACATCGTTTATCCGGATTAGCTGCAGCTGGTGAAAGAATCTTACCAGATACCTCAGCTCAAGGTCGAGAAATTATACGACATGAAATAAGACGTGTAAGAGAACGATGGGATAATCTTGCTGAAGGTATCACCGAACAACAAAAGAAACAAGATGCTCAATCATTGCAATGGTCTACTTATCAAGAAACATTGCAACAAACGCTTCTTTGGTTGAATACCATGGAAAGAGCTATAAAACAGGATCCACCAGTAACTTGGCCTTCATTGCAAGAAATCAAATCGAAATTATTGAAGAATAAAGTAAGTAACTCGCAAATATATTTTATGCGACAGTGATAAAAACAATAAGTATAATTAAATGTTAATATAAAAAGTATTGAAAATAATGGGTATGAATTAGGTATTCATTCTCATCATTTTTTCCCAAACGCGCCACAAAAGAAGTATAACTTAAAAATAAATAAATATAGATGTTATAATGAAATTAAATGCGTTTTTAAATGATATTGCAGACGTTGCATCAAGAAATCCTTGCTCATAAACGTATAATAGAAGGAATTTCCGAAAAAGCAAATGCTTTGATTCAAGTTGCACAAGCACCATTGGACATTCAAGATAAAGTTACATCGGTTTCCGATAGATACGAGAAACTTGTTGATAAATCGCAGAAATCTATAGCCAGTTTAGAAGAGTTCCTTGATATATTCCAACAATTTCAAGATCTTTATCGTGCCTATCAGGATTACCAGAAACAACAGTGGGAACAATTGATCAGTTACAGCGATTCCATTGCTAATAAAAATACTTTACAAAATAGATTGGATAAAGTACTCGAAATACAGGACAAACAGAATGAAGGTGAATTGAAATTAAATGTTTTGGCGGAACATGTTTCCCAAAATGCAAGCAGTTTATCACCAAAGGTATATTACGAGTGCATGAGAAAAGACGTGGCTAATTTAAGGTAATAAATAAATTTAAATAAAAACAAAAAAAAAATAAAGAAAATGAAAACGAACAAACACAAATTCGCTTAATAATCGTTTACATATATTTCGTTGATTTATTTGACAGATTCGAGAGCAAGAATTTTGCTAATGCGGTCAGTGACGTAATTCGTTGCATAGAAGAAAGAATGGCACAATGGAACGAATACGAAAATTTATTGGAACAATTAATTGTTTGGCTGGGCGATGCGGAAACTACTTTGAAAAATTATTCGATGAAAAATACGATCGAAGAAAAACAAGAACAATTGGAAAAATATCAAGTAAGTTATCGTTAAAAAATATATATTAATTATTTGTTACCTTTAATTATAGTTTAACAATTTAGAATCCTTAATATTTAAGAAAGAAGAATCGCGTCTAACATCGATTAAAATTGGAAGAGAATTGTTTTTTATTATTTTGTTTAATTCCAAATTTGTATATAAAAATGAAATTTCTTAGGAACTACAAAAGGTCGCTGAATCACGGAATACGGATGTAACTGAATTGGTGGCGCTTGGTGACCACCTTGAACAAGTAAGAGTGTGTAGATAATTTTATCTACAAGCAAATGCCTTGCAAAATGCAAAATGTGAATGGTGCAGGCTTTTTTTAAAACAAAAAAAAAACATTTTTTGATCACTCTTCCTTGCTATTTTTTTTCTATTGCAATAAATAGTAATAATAATAAGAATTATCAATGGGCTATTTAAAAGCATACTCTTTTTTACGTATATAAAATACATACGTATTTTTATACATATATATGTATACTCATTAATTATTATTTAACGCTCAAATTAATGCTTTTTATTTTATAATATAATATGATAAAAGTATAACTAACACCGCTCGTGCATATATATATTATATATATAAGATAATATCTTATTTAAATAACACATCAACTTTTGTAAATATATGTAACACATGTGATAATTTTGTATATAATTAATAATTATTCTACAAAAAATATTATATATAATAATTAATATAAACACATTTTATATTTATGTTTGCTGCAGACGTTAATCGCAAATCTCAGGCAAAACGAGGTAGACTTCGATAAAATGAGATACGGATTTGATTCATCGGAGTTGATCCAGATCAGTGGGGAGACTAGATTTTCTTCTAGCGTGCAACAAATCAATTCTAGATTTCAATCAGTACAGAGTACTGCTAAGGTAATGTTAACAAAAATATAATAAATTTTTTTTCTTAAACAACAAATATATAAACATATCAATTAATATAAAATCAAATGAACGTAATTTATATGTAGGAACTGATGAAAAAATGTGAACAAGCTTGTTCAGATCATAATGCATATCTAGAACGTTACAAACAATGTTCAGAATGGTTGGCTACAGCAAGGGGACGTTATCAATCGGTTGCGGACAATTTGTGCGGCACGCATCAAGAATTAATATTAAAGGCTGATACATTGAAGGAACTTTTAGGAAGACAATCATCAGCAATGTCTTTATTGAACAGTACAATTGAGACAGGTGAACGTTTGTATCCTACAACCGGTGTAGAGGGAAGAGAAATCATTCGTCAAGAGTTATCGGACCTTCAACAAGTTTTGGAAGGATTGTACGACGACATTGCATCAACGGAACGTGATTTGCAAGGTAGAATCGTTAAATGGTCAGGTTTCGATGAGTGTAGCGAAGGATTTGAAAAATGGTTGAAAGATGCGGAATCCCAATTGAAAGAGGACATAGAATTGAAAACAACTTTGGACGAAAAACGTGGACAATTGCAAATATATCGTTCTTTCTTGCACGACGTTCAAGTACATCAACAGGATTTGTTAGATCTTTCGGATAAAGCTGATAATCTTCCAGAACGTACGGACAAAATTGATTCTATAATAAATAAATTGAAACGCAGGCACGCTGAAGTATTGAAACGTGCCACAACGTTTGTCGAAAGATACGAGGGAATTGTCAGTGATCATCAACAGTATAGTAAAGCAGTGTTAGATACACACGAATGGTTGGATGCAACCCATAATGCTGTTAATCTATGGGGCGATACAGAATTAGAACGAGTTTCACTTCATACGAATTTGGATCGTTTGCAAAATCTTTTGCATACACTTCCGGAAGAACAACCGAGGGTACAACAAATTCGTGTTCTTGGTGAAAAAGTGATACCCGGTACATTGGAAACCGGTCAAATAAATATACGATCGCAGATAGATTCGTCCCAACAGGAATGGGAAGGTTTAATATCTGCTGTTAAATCGACCATAGAAGCTTTGGAAAATAAATTACAACAGTGGAACGAATTTGAAAACTTTAAGGAAAGATGTTTGATTTGGATCAAGGATACGGATACGAAACTTCACGCTGTAGATTTGAAATCGACATTTGGGGAAAAGAAAGATCAATTGGAAAAATTGCGTTCCCTGCAAGGTGAGGTACGTGCTAAGGAACTTGAAATTGACGCGGTCACCGAAAGGGCCCAACAGTTGCATAAAAATCTATCCTCGAGAACATCGCACATATCCGAATTGAGTATTAAGTATCAACAAATATCGAGTAAAGTTAAAGATTTGAACAATCGTTGGCATCAATTCGTAGCCGTGCATCAAGAATTCGACAATCAATTATCCGAATGTAGCAGATGGTTGAACGACATCAAAAACAAATTGGCTTATTGTTCGGATTTGAGTGCGTCTTCGCAAAAGGATTTGGAAAATAAAATGGAAACAATGCAAGATATATTGTTGTATAAAGAGGACGGATTTACAAAAGTTCAAAGTATCGTTGAATTGGCCCAAGCTGTTTTGGCTAATACAGCACCGAGTGGACATCAAGCGATAAACGAAGCATTGGCGAATCTTCAAGAACAATGGAGTGCCGTTGCATCGAAAATGCTCGAAACCAAAACGAATTTGGACGATTCTATTAACAAATGGGCCGGTTTACTCGAACAAATTCAATCGATTAATAAAACTAACGAGTACATGCAAACGTCATTGGAAGAAATGTCACAATTCCAAGCGACAATGACAGAAAAAAGGAGCCAATTGGAACGTATAAAAGCATTGGAAGAGAAAATTAGATGCGAGAACATAGAAGTCGAAAGTTTGAAAGCCAAAGTAGCCGAAATGATAGCCAGCGGTCAACAAGGTTTGGCTGCTTCTCACGCCCAAGATATATTGGGTAGATTCGATATGCTGTTTGAAAAAATTAAATCATTATTGACGGAACGCGAGGAACAATATAAGGATCATCGGCTTTACAAAGAAGCTCACGACAATTTGATTAGTTGGCTTAATCGTGCGCGCGAAAAGATACCCGCGATGAAACAGAGATCGTTGAGCGATAAATTAGCGATTGAAAATGCTGTAGCACCATTGGAAAGTCTTCTCAATAAAAAAGCCCAAGGGGAACTTTTGGTAGAACATTTGCAACACACTGGAAAAGTTGTATGCGTTGGTACCAATGTTCAGGGGCAAGAAGTCATCAAAAATGAGATTCGTGCTTTAACAGAAAGCTTCGAAGGATTGTTCAAAGGTAACATTCTCTTTTCTTATTTTATATATCATATTAAATATTAATTTGTGTTAAAAATATAATAAAATAATATTTATATTTTTGTTTTCTGCAGAAATCAAACAACAAAAGGATCAATTGGAATCAACTATCAGTCAGTGGCGCGATTACAAAGACGAATATGAACGACTTAGCGATTGGTTGCAACAATTTGATATTCTTATTAAAGCACAGAAGAATGCGTTGTTACCAAACGTTAAAGAGAAACAAAAGCAAGTGCAAGAGGTCAAAGAAATATTGAACAATTTGACCAAGGGTCAAGAACAATTCGACAAATTTAATAAAACAGCTTCTGGTCTGCTTTCCTCTCATTTGGATACTTACGTTAATAATCAATTACGTCATTTAAATTCGCGATATCAAGTGCAAGTGAATCTTGCTAAGGATGTACTGAACAAAGTAGAAATTAATTTGGCTCAACACGAGGAGTACGAAGCATATCTCGGGAAGGCACGGGATTGGATTGAAAATGCAAAACAAATCATAAGACAAGGAACGGAAGCAGCATCTACGAGTAGTAGAAACGAATTGCAAAACAGATTGGACAAAATACAAGAATTGTTGAGGAAACGCGAGGAGGGACAAAATTTGGTACACTTGACGATAAATTGCGGTGAAAAGGTTATGAGAAATACAAGATCGGATGGTCGGGAAGAAATCGGTTCGCAATTGAAAGATATACAAAATGATTGGGAACGTTTAGTTAAGAAGATATCAACTACTAAAGTACACTTGGAAACTAGTCTTTTACAATGGGCCGATTATAGTTCATCTTATTCGCAATTGCAACAGTGGATCAACGATCGCGAAGCGAAATTGCAACAGGTTTGGGAACAAAAAGTATCGAAAGCTAAAAAAGGTTCAGCCGGTTTGAGTTCTTTAGCGATCGGGGAAAGAAAAGCTAATTTGCGTCAGACGAATAGTATCGTACAAGACATCGTTGCATTCGAACCAATGATTCAATCAGTAGCAACTAAAGCAGAAGATCTTAGACAAGCAACACCAGCAACCGAGATATCAATTAAATATAAAACATTAAGTAAACACGCCCAAGAACTTTATGCGAAACAAAAGGAAACGGTTGAACAGCATCAGGCATTTATCGATAGTGGTAATGAATTTTTACAATGGATAAGAGTTGCCAAAGAAAGATTAGGGAAATGTTCGGAACCAACGGGTGACAAGGAATCGATAGCAAGTAAGATTACACAATTGAAGGTATTGCAGTGTGAACTTTCAGAGGGACAGAAAAAACTTGAGAAAGCTTTAGAACGTGGTAATGCTGCCTGTCAAATTGCTGACGCTGAGGATAAAGAAATTATCGAGGAGGAAGTAGCATTGTTGCAAGACGAATACGATAATTACGTGGACTCGTTGGGTACTACAAAATCTTTATTGGAAGAGGCCATTGTAAAATGGACTCAATACGAGGAACAATTTTCTGAAGCTGCCGAATGGTTAACTCAAACCGAACAACTCGTACAATCTTATAATAAATTACAGGACAGTCTTGAAGAAAAGAAAAACGTTCTCGAACAATTCCAAGTACATTTGCAAACATTATTCGATTGGCAAAAGGAATTAGATCGTTTGAATATGAAAGCCCAAATGTTGGTAGAAACCTGTGCCGACACTAGAATTTCAAACGCGGTTACTCAATTGACCACCAAATACAATGCACTTTTGTCGCTTGCCAAAGAAATTATGCGACGATTGGAATTACATTATCAGGAACATCAACAACACAATACGTTGCATCAAGAGTGCGAGGATTGGATTGAACGTACCAGAAACAAATTGGTTGAGTGCATGGAAATTCCTAGTACATTGCAGGAAGTTAATAATAAATTGCACACTTGTAAAACTATACGGCAAACCTTGGAACAGGGTCAAAATAAATTACGTTATGCATTGGAATTGAAAGAAAAGGTTATCATGAACACCGAACAAAACGGTGCTGTTAAAATTCAAGAGGATACCGAAAATCTTAAAGCTGAATTCGACAAATTGTTAGCCGACGTTGAAATTGCTAGACAAAAACTTTCCGTACGTGCAGGTGTACTCGAAGAATTGAACAAAATTCACAGAATGATAGCTGATTGGATCGAAGAGGTCGAAGGCAAAGTTCAGGCCGAAGAAATCTATAGAAATGATCTCAGCGAAAAGCGTGCTCTTTTGGAAAAATTCAAAACTGTATTAAGAGACATAATTGGCCACGGTGATTCATTGAATCGACTTAAAACGCGTCTCGCTGAAGATTCGACAATACAAAAAAGTCCGTACGAGGGAACCATCACTAAATATGAATCAATTAAACAATCGATTGCCGATAAAATAAATAAATTGGAAAATCAAATAAAGGATCACGAAAAGTTTCAGCAAGCTTATAACGAAGCTGCCGATTGGGTACGTCAAACAAAACTTGAACTTCAACAACATAGTGATACTCATGGCGATAAAGGACAAGTATTGGAACGTGAAAATAAAGTGAGTCAAATTATTTCCTCATTGCCGAAGGGTGACAAATTAATCTCGAAAGTAATCGAATTAAGAGATGCCGTAATTTCGACTACCGGTACGGAGGGTCAGGATTCTATCAAACAAGATGTCAAACAATTGCAAAATGATTGGTCTTTATTACAATCACAGTGTCACGATTCCTACGAAACTCTTAACAATTGCATATCAACGTGGTCGCAATTCACGGCTGCTGTTGATAACATGAAAGCATGGATCGATTATTTCCAACAGAAGGTAATCGACGAACAATCGAAAGAAAATAAAACTCAAGTAGATTTAGCTCGGTGCAAGCAATTGGTCGACGAAGCTGTCGAACAAAAACCCGTTCTGGAAGATTTGAACGACAAATGCGAGGCCTTATTGGAAATGAGTGCATGGAGTTTGGCGCGTGACAAAACGGTACAACTTCAATCGTCTTACACGTCTCTGTTAACCGATGCGCAAAGTTTGGTTTCCAAGGTTGAGAAAAATCTATCAGATCATACGGAATTTTTAAAAGCGAAAAAGGAAATGGAAGATTGGTTGTGTACCGTGCAAAAGTCAGTAAAAGATTGCGTTGGTACGGGTGACGAGGCATGGGCTAAGAATAAATTAGCAATCCTTAAGGTTGCAGCTTCGCAAATAACCGAAGGTCAACAATTATTGTCTACGTTACAGAATGCATTCGTTAAGGCAATTAACACGGCATTACCAGAACAACAAGATCAATTAAGAACAGATATGGCTGATCTACGATCGAACTGGGAACAATTGACCATGGATTTAAATACCAGTCAAGCACGAGTTAAATCTATTCTCAGCAGATGGGAGGATCATTTGGAAGCTTATAACAAATTTAAAAAATGGTTGGACGATACTTACGAATCCACGGAAGATTTGCCAAATACTAAAGGTGAATTTGGTGAAATGAAAACATTATTAGAACGATACAAGCACATACAAGAAACGGTGCACAGTAAAAAGACCGATTTGGATAATTTAATGGAAGAAGCTGGGGAATTATCTAATTGGGCAGAAAATAATGTAACGTTGGAACGATCAAAAGAATTATTGACAAAGTGGCAAGTTTTAGGTGATCGCGTTGACGAAAGAAAGAAATTGATCGAGGATGAAATGAAGGAATACAATGCGTATCATGCGGCATTACAGGACACAGAAAAGTGGTTGTTACAGATATCTTTCCAATTGATGGCTCATAACTCGCTTTATATAACTAGTAAAGAACAAACAATGGCACAAATGAAACAACACGAATCGTTGCTGATAGAAATACAAAAGTATCAAACTGTCCTCGATGATTTAAAAGCTAAGGGTCAGGGACAAATAAATCAATACGTAACGGTAAATAAAGAAATCAAAAACACGATAGAAACCCAATTGCAAAACGTTCAAGATAGTTATAATTCTTTGTTGAATACTGCATTACAAATAAAAGGTAGATTGGCGGATTCATTAACGAAATTCCAAGAATACGAAAACACATTGGAAAGTATTGCGAAGAATTTGGATAATTATCAAATTGAAATTGTTCGCGAGTTGGATGCACCTTTGGATAAACTTGCCGAAGCTGAGGAAAGTCTGGAAAATGCGCGAACGTTGCATAATAAGTTGCAATCGGAGAAAACGCGTTTGGCATTGGCAATCGAGGCTTGCGAAGCAGCAGCAGCTTGCATTTCCAGGCCCGGTAGTCCTTTGGATGCACCCCCAGTTCAAATTGCACCAAGGGAAGTTGAAATTCGTACGAAATTGGAAGACCTCATTGATCAAATGCAAACCCATTTGACCAATGTGACAAAAGTTGTTGCCGATTTGGAGGAACAAACTAGACAGAAAAATGCATTGTGCATGTGGATTAATCAGCAACGCGCACTTTGCGCCGAATGGAAATCAAGGCCAGCAAAGTTACGTGCCGAGGCAGCTCAAGCCGAATTGCAAACGATGAACGAATTATTGGTGAACGTCAATGAACGTCGTACCCGTGCTTTGATCGAACTTGCATCGCATCCGGAAATACAAGAGGTCGAAGATGGGCTTAATAAATTGGAAGCTGAATTGACGGATGCGATTGTCGGTAAACAGGCGTCGCAAGATTTGATACAAAAGTATAGAAATCAAGTGCAAGATATTCAATCGTGGTTTGATGCTCTATTGAAAAAAGCCGATGGCATTGAAAAAGGCAGTGGTCTTACGATAGGTCAAAAGATTTCTAATATCAAAGAAATAATTGGCGAATTCGAATCACAGAGTACAGACAGATTGGACGAAGTTAAAAAATTGGGCGACCAAGTAATGGATTCTGTCAGTAATTTGGATTCGCAACAAATCGAGGAACAGATCAAGTTCGTTGAGAGACGTTACACCGATATAAGTAAAAAATTGCAAAGGAAGGCACAAGTTTTGGATATGACAGCTCAAGGTATCGAAGCTACTCGTCAAGAAATCGAAGAAAATCGAAATTGGATTGAACAGAAAAAGGAACACGCTAGATTGACCGAACCCTTGGGATACGAAAGTAAACAAGCTGAAGAAAGATTGCTCGTTCTCAAGGTAATTAATTATCATTTCAATTATACGTTATTTATTTAGTATTCATTAAAATTTAATACAATATATAATTTTTAATAAAAATATCTATCTTAATGTATTAATCGCATAACATTAAACACTCTTTGCAGAGTATATTGAAAGAAGCCGAAGGCAAACAAATGATAGTAGATACGCTTGAAAAACGCGTTGGAAATATGCAAAACGAATTGGAAACTAGCGAACAACAGCAATTAGAAGACAATACGAAAGCTTTGCGCGGAGAACATATCGAATTGCGTACCATTTTGCAAGAAGAAATTTCAATTGCGAGTGCAGCTGTGGATGCTTGTCGCAAATTTGAAACCGATCTGGCACGGGCTCGTGCATGGATCAAAAATAAGAGCAACGAATTGAAGAAACTTAGCGGATACCTTCCCTTAAAAGCTTCGAAAGTTGAACAAGAAATTGTACAGCACAGCAGTTTAGAATCTGAAATCGAATCATTCAACGAAGGTAATTTGAATGATATTATAAAACAGGGACACAGTATGTTGAAGGAATGTAACGCGGAGGATCGTGCAAAGTTACAAAGTTTGTTAGACGATTTGAACAAAGATTACGAAGAATTAAAAAGAGAAGCTAAGGAAAAGCAAGCGTCCCTTAACGATCTACTTCAAGGACGTAAATCTTTTGAAAATGAAATGGACAAGTGTCAGAGGTGGATCAATGAAGCAGAAGTAGCTACTTCGTTAGAATTACGAACATCTAGCGTTGATGTTCTACGTGAACAGCTTGCTAAGGTATTTTGTAGTTTTTTTTGTTTTATATGTTAAGAACATAAGACAAAATTAACATTCATTAAAATCTATTTACTTTTAGTAGAAAAATATATTTACCAAAACTTTTCTAAGAAATGGCAAAGTTGTACAATTTACAGCATTGCATTCTCTGACATTTTATGAACCTTTGCAGATTGATTTATAACTCGAAAATGTATTCTACGCGTAGACAAAAGAGTATACTTTAATTTAATATAGAAATCATTAAAATCCGCTTACTATAAGTATATTAAATATTAAATGTATAATCACGGGAGCAAATCGCGACTAGATTTATGTGGGATACCCTGTATATATTATTTATTATCTTACTTTTATATATTTTTCAGTACGATCGTTTAAAGAAAGAAGCCAAAGAATACGCAGACAATATTGAAAAGATAACGCAACAAGGAAAATCTATTTTGCCAACTATCAGCGATGCCGATAAACAAGAACTCAGTGAACAATTGAAATGCATGAAAGAGGCCCACGATAGGGTGGCCAATGTAATAAACGAACGGGCTAATAATCTGCAGAAAAAAATTGACGAAGCTGAAGAAGCAGCAGCTAGAGTTGCCGAAGCTGTACAATTCATGACGGACATTCAAAAAGAACTTCAGGATTTGAATAAACCAATCGGTGCGCGTATCGAGGACGTCGAAGGAATGTTAGCAGCTTATGAAAGAATATTGGATGATCTTAAAAATAATAAATCTAAGTTGTCCGGTTTGCAATCAGCTAATGTTGGTGATCTTCAAAGTATTCTTGCTCAACAAGATGATCTTATAAGAGCATTGGAAGCACAAATTGCTAAACTTAGACAACTTTTGCTTCTTCGGCAACAATTTATAGCATTGGTTGGTGAAATTACTACTTTCATTGCTAAATATACTGAAATCATTCGAGATATTGAAAAATCTGGTCAAACAACTGAAGACAAAATCAAAAGGTAATCATATTTTTATTATTTATTAAATTCAAATCTTTTTTTCTTCTTCTTCTTCTTATTTATTACAAATGAATAAATAATAATAATTCGTTTTAATATAGATACGATGATGCTATATTAAAAATACAAGAATGTGAAGCTACACTAGCAAGTGCCACAGATAAAGGACAACAAATAGCTGCTGAGGGTTCAGCAGTTGATAGAAATATCATAACGGAACAATTGCAAACGCTTAAACAACAACTCCAAGGTCTCAGAAGAGCCGTAGAAACGCAGAGAGAAAAGCACGAGTTAGCTGCAGCAGAACACAGAAGATTGGCCGAAGAATTGGCCGACATTTTAGATTGGATAGAGAGCAAGGAAAAAGAAGTCAAGTCTAGGCCACTTTTAGAAAGGGATCCGCAAAGTGTCGAAGAAGAAATAAATAAGCACAGGATTCTTTGCGACAGTATAAACGAATATTTGGATAAAATTCGTAAGTTGAAGGATTCTGTACGACACGAGGAAGGTATGCCAGGATCATTGAAAGAAATGTTAAGCGAAGCTATGTCTTTGTTAACATCATTGCCCAGAGAAATGGAGGAACGTGGAAATTATATTGAAAATAATTTACAATTAAGATTGAATTATGCCCAATTAGCTGATAAATTGCACAATTGGGTTAAGGAAGCTGAGATTAGGTTGGATAGTGATAAAGATGGACTAGATTTTGAAAATATTCTTAGCGATTTGGAAGAACACAAGGTGAGAAATTCGATCATTCAATATTTACCTTTTAATACAATTTTATAATATTCCTTTTTAATATATACAATTGAATTATATGTCAAGAAGCAAAAATGTTTAAATTAATTATTAATTTATATTTGTAGATATACTTCAGTACAGAATCATCGATTCGCGAATTAGTTTCTCAACAAATCCAACAAGCAGCAGACAAAATATGGCCATCGTTGAATAGTTCTGAACAAGAAGAATTAAGTACCGAACAACAACAGCATACTCAATTGTTAAAGAACACATTGAATACTGCTAGATCTCAACGAGCTCGCATGGAACAAGGTGCAGAAACTTGGAGAGATTACAGTCAAACTTTGGAACGTGTGCGTGCTGTCATAGCTAGGACAAGATTCACTGATGAACCTGTTACAACGTTAGCCGGCTTGCAGTTTAATATTCAAAAGATTACGCATGCATTAAATGATATTCAGGTAAATAGTAATAATGATTTTTTTAAGTGTTTATATTTTAAAATAGTAAATGACATAACTTTTCGTTAACGTTTTAAAAACGTAAATGTCAATTCTTAGAATCTAATAGATAAATATAGAGTCATGTTAAATTATAAAATAGAATGTAGTACGTATCGTAGATATTACGGGTAAACGTGTAGTTAAAATCGCGGTCAATGTCGAGCATTATCATTATACTTTAAAAAAAAAAACAGAAAAAGGCAATAATGAATTATTTATTTCGATGAAAGAGTATTCAATGATTATGGCATATATAAAAATAACGTCTCGAGGTCAGTATAAATGAATATTATAAAATGTGTCAGTGATATGTGTTTCGGGTTATTTCGTTGGTAAACAAAATGGTGCAATGACATTTCGTTTGAGAAATTTTAAACGATGATGTCAAGTTTTGCGAATGATGTCATCCAGCAAGGCTAACCGGTGTATATCAGAGTTATTATTATTCAGAACCGTCAGTTTAAGCCTTGCTTGACTACAACGCAAAGGAAAACGTGTCTGATATAAAGTTTCTTACTTTTTCTTCTTTTAGAATCAACAGTTCGAATTAGATTTGTTGAACGAACGTGGTCGTGAAGTTCTACATTTGGCTAATCCCCGTAACAAAAAGAAGATAGAAGAACAATCATCCGAGATAACTACCGAATGGAAAGAATTGGTTTCTGGTTTAGAAGGTCGTAGAGATGCACTTGAAGCACTTTCAAGACATTGGGAAGAATTGGAAGCACGTTATTCTCACGTTGAAACTCGATTGAACGCCATTGAAGAAAAAAGCAAACTCATCGATACGATTGTTAGATCTAAACAACATTTACAAGATACCAGTAAAGCTTTATATGTAAGTGTATTATTATATCATTTGATTTATTATATTAGAGAGATATATAATATCAATTTGTAATAGATAATATATAACTATTAATATATTATAATAAAGTATTATATTTTATATATGTTTTATAATATAATAGTGTTATATTATCTATATAATATCTAATATAACTATTATTATATGATAATATGATAATATTATAATATTTACTATTTATTTATTATAATATTATGATAATATTTAAGTATATAATATTTCATTAATTAATCATATCGTTTTACTTTCCAAATCAGGAATCAATTACGGATGCTGATAAACTTAGACCGGCAACAGAGGAAATACAAACATTAGCAGGACCAGTACTTATTTATCTGTCAGCTTTCACACAAGCCCCGGCATGTGCACTCGAGGAACGCATCAAACATCTTCAAAAATCCGCAGAATCGTGAGTCAGAATAATGACACGTTTTCTTTTTCTCTTTTTATCTTGTTTCTTTTTATTTTTTTTTTTTTTTTTGAACACGCTCCATACACGGACACGTTCGATTTAAAAATCATTGAATTAATTGAACACATGCAATTTTATATAGTTTATTATACGTTTATTATTACTGTTATAATATCAATGCTAGTTATTAATAATGTTTACTTATTTATATACAGATAATCTTTAGAAAAAATATTATTATCTACAATCTAGATAGGTTGTGACTCAAAACTTGAAACGTTCGTGAGAGATTTCATCGTATTATATTATGTACTAAGTTTAAACGTCTCTTGTATGTTCTTGTTTGTTTTCTACACAGATATATATATGTATATATATATACATATATATCTATATATAATTTTGGCAAGAAAATATTCAAATAAGTAAAATCATTTGCCAATTTTAGTGGTAAACTCGCGAGCAAGTATTGCACAATTTATAATAATCGTGCTTAACGTGGTAAAATCATTGAAAAATCTTAAAGGTACGTTCGATCAAGAAATACAATATATATATTGCTTTATAATAATAATTATATTTATAATTTCAAGAGAAAAATTCGAATAATAACGCGAATTATGTCCAGGAGCATAGTTTGGCATGTGCATGAAGAGTGTGGTGGTGTGTGTATTATTTGGCTTAAGTATTTTTTTTTTCATATACACAATTTCTTTATTATCTTCGTGTATATTATTTCATTTCAGGAAAGAAAAAAGAACAATTTGAAATATTTTCCTTTATTTAATATATATAGGTATATGAAAATGAAAAAAAAAAAAGACAATAAACGTTACAATCGTTCGCGATTATAAGCAACAATTAATAATGAATATTTTTAACAACATTAAAAACTTTAGCCTATGGTAAATTTACTTACCGGGAACAACGAAGAAACGGAACGTTTATTTTAACGTTATAATTGAAAACGATGCATTTAGAATGCAAATCATTGTGTTCTCGAATGCAACACCATTATTATGTTACACTTGAAATAGTCAGATAAGTATGATAAGTAATCATACGAAAACCTTGTAGGAAGATAATCAGTTCATTGGCCGGTCTTGTATACAAACATTTTCCTATCGATAAATTAAACTCAAAAAATACTTCTAAATATCTTCAATAATACAAAAAAAAATTTAAACGCGTTATTGTTCTTCGAACTTCAACAATTTCTCAACGTAAAATATATATTTATATTAAGAAAGATATATACACGACAATTGTTATTAGTTATGATGTGATTTGTGATAAACAATAACATCATTAATTAATTCTTTTTCGTGGTATACGATATTATCCATATAATTTTAGAATATATATGATTCATCTTATGATTTATATATTTTCTCTCTTATTATTAGCAACGGTGTGTCTATCTATTAATACGGTTTTTTTTTTTATCAAAAAACAAAATTTAAAATATATTTATAATGTATATCATATAGATTTATTATTCGAATTCTCTTAATGACAAAAATACGATAAAACGATTATAGTGAAATAAATATAATTATCAAGGCACCGAATTAATTGCTATACCCAATATAATAATAATAATAATCGGGTATAATATTTATTTAATACAAAACAAAAGAAATTCTTTCTCAATTCATTTGTTTCATCAACTTTTTATTCATACTCGTTTAATTCCTATTATTCTTAGGACACACATACATAAATGTATGATAGTAAAATCGGATATAATATTTATTTAACAGAAAACAATTATACAAAAAACAAAAATCTTTCTCAATTTTCTTTTTTCATGAACTTTCATTTTATTCTTGTTTAGTTCGTATATTATTCTTAGGACACACACACGCACTCATACACACACAGACAGATACACAGACACGCGTGTAACACAAACACTAATTCGGTGGCTGTGTCTCCTGTTCGGTTTTTCATTCTTGGCTAGCCAAGTTGGCATTTAAAGTCAGATCGCATGCGTCGTAGGTTTCTTTAGTCGTCGGCAAAGTAAAGCGGTGAAAATTCGACACGAGTACCAACCAGAATCATTATACCTCTTTTAATAACGTTCCGAACCGCGACCGCTGCTGTTTGACTTGATTGTGCCGCGCCATAGTATTCTCCAAGAATTAATAAATATATATATATACATATATACATATATACATATATACATATATATATATATATATTTTTTTTTTGTAAAGAGAAGGAAAAAAAAGAAAGGATAAGAAGGAGTATAGGGGGTGGGATTGAAATGACTAGTGGTTCATATTTTTATAATTGTGAATATATATTTCGTGGGAAAGAGGTAGGGATAGATATGAATGATAAAACAATTTATGTTAATTCAAATAAATAATGAAATAATATAATCGGTTATAATTTTTGCAGATATATTTATATATATATATATATATATTATTAATATTATATTGTATATATTATTTTTCTTTGCGAATATCAACGTGGGTTCTTTTTTTATTGTTTCAAATTCACGCAGATATTGTGTGGCACACGAGTGATAGTTGTGTATCATATATTTATACATCATCAATCGGAAATAATGTTTAGATTTTCGGACACGTTCGTTTTTGTTTTGTTTCTAATAGAATTTGCATAATAATCGATCAAATATTATTGTCATTATTATTATAATTATCATAAATTTAATTGGACGGGGAGATAAATGATTCAATGATTCGAATATATTGTTCATTTTTCATTATTTATTCTACGTTGAAATTTGATCCTTCTGCAAATGCCACGTGGTTTAATTTCTTCCTATTTAAAGGGTTACCACCAAATAGGAGAGACAAAAACAATTAGAATAATCAATTGTAAATTAATTTAATGTTTTCAATGTTTAAGATGATGAATTTAATAAATATTTATCGACGCGTTGAAGATATCACGATCGCGTTTCTTAGAAAAATTCGAAAAAAAATATTTACGAGATGAAATCATCGACTAAATAATATCAAACGCTTGACATTTTATGAATCGTAAATTTAAATACGTGATATGTGTATAATAACGTTTTAGTTTCGTCGATGATTCATAACAATTTGCTAAAAAAATAAAATATTGTTTTAAACTCCACATATATATATATATATATATATGAAAGAATTTAATCGTATTATTGAAATGATGGGGAAAATAAAATGAAAATTTATTTGCATTTCATATATAACCCAACATAAACCATAACAACAATTCAAACGATACAATTCTATATTAGAGTATTATATAAAACATAATAATTAATATCCCGTAATATGTGTTATTCTTTTCGCGTTTCTGCCACTGGCCGGCCGTGTGTGTGTCATTTTGTGAAACTTCTTTAGCCGGTCTAATCTATTTTTATATCATCATACGCTTCGTCATAGCACGCACACACGCATAAGCATTACAGCATTTCTGACATCTTTCAAAAAATAGACCTTCACGACCGCACTACGGGATATGATATAATCTTTCAAAAGTTTTTCAAACACATAATATCATTCTTATTTAAAAAAAAGAAAAAAACTACTTCTTTCCATCTTAATTATAAATAGAATAATATATATATATATTTATGTTACCATGAGAAAGACTGAAATTGGATAATGTCAAGATTCACATGATCCCTTGATGGTGGTATGTCTTAATTATTATAATGTATAAGAATAAATCCAAATATTCGGTCTTACACCGATTAATTTCGGTCTTTCACAGTAACATATATATATATATGTAAAAAAAAAAGACAATAACAATCAATTTATACAACATATATATAAACTCTCTCTGATATATTAAAAAAGATATAAGAATAATAATTATTTATAACACGTGACACATGTGTAGAAATGTTATTTTATATATAGAAAGTGTTATTTTTATCTTGACAATTTTAATAACCATCACGGAAATGAACGGAACATTTAAAAGATTCGGTCCGAGAAAACTCTTTATCTTTTTCTCATTCTCTTTATATATATATATATATATATATCTTTCGGTGGTTTAAACATACATAGTTAGTTCATCTACTTTTAGCCAAAGCTGCCTCTCAGCTCTCGCGCACCCAGCGTCTTTGGTTCTTTGGGAATGAAGCCAGCCTAAGACGAAGTAGTAACGATACGCATTTCCGATTCTAAATTTGTTGTCCCTCGTTCCGGCTAACTTGACGTTCTAAGGCCACCAACACCACCACCACCACCACGAACACCAACACCAACAACTAACTTAATACCGAAAAATCGTTCCAGCAACTTTTCATTAATATCTTTTTTGTTCGTTTATCTTATTATCTGCTAGCATTTGAAATGAATTATATAGAATATCAGTTATAAACGTATAATTATTTTGATGCAATCTAGATAAAAATATTGCAAGAATAAATTGATACGCGTTTAGATATTATCATTAGTTTCGTGTGCGTACCGATCTAATAAAAATATAAGAAAGGATATTATTAAACAATTAGACACGTGAAACGTATTTTGATATATTCGTTACAGACTCGTTGGTTCATTACGGGAGAAATCGAAGAAAGCTGAAGAAGATCTCGAGGAACTTGAAAATCTAGAGAACGAGATCGAAAGATTGCGTAAAAGTTTGAACGAGTCGCGAAACTTAGCGACGAATTTATACGTATTCGGTGCAGATCAGGATACAGCCGATAACGAGGTTAAGGAATTGAAATCTCACTTGGAGGATTTGATTGATAGTGCAAAGAAATTTTGTGGAAAGACTAAGGCGCGGTACCAAGTTACCCAGCAGTTGGTGCCAACCGATTTGTCCCAGCATTTGACGGCTCTCGAGCTTTGTGCCGAGGCTAGTGCACAAGCTATGGATGAGAAACAGAGAGAACTTAAACGGGCCAGGACCACTAGGTCGGATTATTTGACCGACGTAGATGAAGTTCAGGCATGGGTAAGGCAAGCTGAGATCAAAGTGCAGGACAGGTCAGTTGAACCTATTGCACTTAGGGAAAGTTTAAGACAAATACAAAACGAGCTGGGACCCGTAATGGATAAACTCGAACGATTAACGAGAAATGCTCGTGTGATCATCGATAATACGAGAGACGATAACGAAAAGGAATACATCGATAAAACGGTTAACGATTTGAACGAACAATTGGGACAAGTCAAAAGTTGGCTTGACGAAAAGAGACAAATTGTTGGCGACACTTTAGACGCGTGGCAAAGGTTTTTAACACTTTACGATGCTGTCAGGGCATGGACGGAAGAAAAGAAGCAATTCCTAACGGAACCGTTAAAACTCAGTACCCTCATTCAGGCCAGACAAAGGCTTCACGAATATTCGGTACGTTGGATGGGACCGAAATAGATATTCTCTTTCTCACTCACTTTCTCATTCTCTCTTTCTTTTTCTCTCTCTCTGTCTATATATCTTTCATTCTCTCTTTCTCTTTATCTTTCTTAATGCACACTCGTGTTGGGATAGGAATTTTGTCAGTTATGATAATCGAACGGTGATCTCACGTCTCGTTTTACAGACCGCTGTTAAAAGCTGTAAACAGGTTAACAAAAATCTAAGCGACATGGCCAAAGAATTAGACAACATTCGTCAAGTAACAACGACTGGTGATTTACCGGAGAAATTTACCGAGGCTGAGGAAGCCAAGATACACGTAGAGGGTCAACTATTGGAAAGAGTTAGTCTCCTTAATATTTCAATTTTATTTGTTCTTATTATTACGTTTAGGATTATATCGATTACAAATTTGTGTATTATACAAAAATTAAACTGGTGCGTGTATTTATGTACGCACGTAAGAAGTTATACTTCTTTAGCGTACCAAAACTGAATATAACCTCAAAAATAACTTCAATTTGCCCGCGCATCGTAAATATCGACAACTTCGTGGTGTCGATTTTTCGGTCGTATCTAACTTCACTTTCCAAAACGCGCCAAAAGAAGTATAACTCCAAAAACAAAAGGAATTATTGGGTTTGAGTAGTTTTGTATAGGGTTTTTTTTATGGATTTATCAAAACAAAAACAAAAACAACCTTAAATTTTAGAACGCATTGCTGCAAGAAACTAGCGAGGAATGGGAACAATGCGAAAGAAAGATGAAGGAGGTTAAAAGTTGGATGGAAAAAGCTAAACAGATACTCGAGTCGCCCCAAAATAAGAAAAAACCTTTGCACGATCAGCACGCAATTAGGGAAAAAATGTTGAGCGACGTTACGATACAAAAGACCAAAATTAAAATGTCGATAGAAAAATTGCGTGTACATTTTAGATCCGGTATAGGTGGCGACAAAAAGATATCCGAAATTGCCGAAGAATTGTTATCGGAATTAGACGTCCTTTATAAAACCGTAACGGAAGAGACTGCATCATTGGAACTATGTTTGGATCAGATCGATCAATATCAACAGGTTAGAAAATAATGCCAGGTCATTTATATAAATCATTAAAACAGAGATTTTCTCTTTTTTTTTTTTCTTGTCAAATATGAAACGCGGCCGTTATTATCTTATGTTATTTCTTTCTTTTTTTTTCTTTTTTTTTTCTTTCTCTTTTCTTTCATTACAGGAAATACAAAAATTACGTCAAAAGGTTGTTCAAGTGGAACAGCAACTTAGGACAGTATTAAGCCCGACGTATTTACCTAACAACAGGGAAAAAGCTATTCAAGAACAACAGGTACGTTTCAAACAGATCACACGTTTTAATTTTTTCATATTTTTTTTTATTTTTTTTTTTCACTATCACGCACAAATACCGCTGAAGTATTGTAGCAGGCAATTATTTTTTTATCGTACGCTCGATACCACCATCTATGATGAAGGGGGAAACCAAAAAAAATCGGTTACCGAAAATTTATTCTCGTTTTATTTGTGCTCGAATACAACATCATCATATATTATCCATCACCCATCCTCCCCAACTACCCTTTTTCTCAACAACCATTTATTGAAATCACTTGTATACCCGGATTATAGATTTAACACGTTTACTTTCCATATCCGTTGAAAATAACATTTTTTTTAACTCGTAATTATTACCAACTAACCGTCGATCGAGCAACGATTTAACCAAACGCAATATTATTTGTTTTAAACGAATTATGCAATCATTTTATATATATGTTAATAAAAAAGTAATTTTCTTTTTTATTAACAGTGGCCACGATAAAAGTGGAAACAATTTGACGAAAATTATCGTAAATCTTCGTGTTATATATTGGCAATTAAATTATAATCATTATTACAATTTAATTACTATAATTATTAATTGTAATAATGAAATTTTTCTTATAATAACAAAATTAATTATATATTATTTCCACTTTTAAAATGGCTCCTTTTTACCACCTTTTACTTTCCAATCCTACAATTTATAATAGTAGACGAAATATGTACTGCCCTTTCACCCTTTTCTATTTTTTTTTCATTTCCTTTCATCGCTAAAAATCATCATAATTGCCTTGAAAATCTATCATAGTGGTAAATCATCGCTTATTATGATTCTGGGTTGGTATCACAATGCAATCGTACTCTTTTTCTTGTCCTGATTTTTTTTTTATACATTCTGCAACACAAATCATTATTTATGATTATTATTATTACTATTATTAATATTATTATTATTATTATTATTAATTATTATCTCATTATGTTTCTCAAATATGTCTTATGTTAGTTATTTAAGTTTCCTACCTCCATAAATATATACATATATATATTTATTTATTTATCAATTTATATATATATATATATATGTATATATGTTAACTATATATTATTAGAAAAAAGGGAGTTACTTGATTTTGTTTGCTTTGTGTTATTTTTGGTTTTAATAATTTACTTCTGTACTTCTCTATCTCACGTGTGTACGTAATACAATACATCGCTATGCGTTTAGGCGATTGTTTTTTTATGTTTCACAAAATATGCACGCGTGTTCTCGTGTGTTTGTATAACTGTCACACTATATAAGCACTCTAGGTAGAAAAATAAATCACAAATTAAGATGCGAACAAATCATTTCGTATTTCTGTGTAAACGGGGATTATTTTTAAAGGACTTGTAGACCGCACACACACATATATATATTCGTTTATACCACACTTACACACACATATATATATATTCACGCGAATTATATGCTCAAAAACGTTATATTTCTATTTTGCCAAAATAGCTTTAAACGTGTAATTACGTAGCAAATTATTGCTGCTAAAAATCTGATATGAACGTTTTTTATTTTCTTTTTTTTTTGGAAACGAACAAATATCTCTCATGCGAAAAAAAATATAATATGATTTATTAAAAAAAAAAGAAATTAAAACTAAAAATAATGATAATAAAAAAAAAATAAAGAATAAATTGCAAGTAAAAATAGGAAAATAAAAAGAAAGAAAAAAAATCAAGTGACCTCTAATACAAACCTCCTCTTCCTCCAAAAATATATGGAGGATAAACAAATTATATAAATGATGGTGTTATATTTTAATTTGGAATTATTTTACTTTTTATACATATATATATATATTTATATATGTTTCGTTATAATTGTTTATATACCAAGCTGTTTTATTTACATTATTTTGTTTGCCAAAACCCTTTTTGCCTATTACTATCCTTTCAATCATGATCCCCCCATACGCTATACTTCTTCGGCTTTCACCTCTATGATCGTTCATCACAATCGTCGTTCCGCTTACCCCTTATATCGATTACTATAATTTTTGGTTAACAATACCAAAATTAATAATCATAACTGATAATATAACGCATTTCAAATTACATTTTTTTTTTTCCCTATTCACCCTCTCGCTGTCGCCCCCTCTCTCTCTCTCTCTCTCTCTCTCTCTCGCTCGTTCGACGTGTTATACGCGTGTTTAATTATTTAAACAATATTAAATATAACGAAAATAGATTTATCGTGAAAATATTAAATCTCTGCAAAATAAAATCCAATCGTTTACCGAAAGAACGAAGTTAATCGTTCAAAGGGGCACACCCGACACAGAAATTTTGGATCTGTGACAATAAATTAATTTCGTAGTTCTTTAAATATGTTCCTGTCGTCATCATCAATTACTATCAATTATCAAATCAAATTTATATCTACGAACACGATGGGCCAAAATGTCATTTCGCATTGATTATTTATATATATATATTATATATATATAAATATTATTATTATATATATATATTGTATATATATATATATA